TCTGCTGTGATGCCGGTGAACTTGTTGATGCTGGGCTTCCACTTCACAAACTTCTCAAGACGCCTGGGTCTGAGGATCTGTGTGGCGATGTCCGAAAGAGTGTCTGTGCCAATAGGTCCTCTCAAGGTGCCAGGGTCTATCAGCAATCCATTTGTTTGATACCTCTTATCATCGTGAAGTTGTGAAATCGGTCGCTCTGGAAAACCATGCCCTTGGCAATAAAGCTTCCATGTTCATGTGCTGTCGCGGTGAGATGAACTTCCTTGACTTCTTCATCGTCGTCTTCGAAAGTTTCCTCCGGGATTGAGCCAATCCTCATCCATGATGACGGTGTTCTGTTTAAAGTAGGGCTCGATGCTACGGATGGTCCTGCGTTAGAGTCACCTTCGACATCCGTAGCTTCTTTGATGTGGTTGGCCGTACAATCGAAACACAAAATCTTGCTGTTAGCTGAATTGAGGAATGAATGATCCAAACAGCATTGCTTCTGACACATATTGCACGTCGAGGTAGAGGTCTTCCAACAAGCATGGCATATCCTCGGTGCATCCAGGATCGTCGATGTCAAAGGAACGTAGAGTTGTTCATGAAGTCCTGGTGGGTACTGCGTCTCCATTGGTCCTGTCAATGAAGATGATGTGCTCGTTGACGTCGCTATCTGTGTCTTTACCGATGTAGTTGATCCTGGGGGGTCTGGTCCGAATATCAATTTGTATGCTTTTCCTGCCTTGGACTTTTCCTGCTTCTTGAGATAATCTCCATCCGAGTCCAAGGTGGGAACAAAGCCAAAATAATCATCATGATCATGTCGTGCTTCGTCCTTCGCACTTGTAGTAGGAAAAGATGCATACATCTGGCCGTAGCTGCGCTGCTTGAAGTTGTTCTTTGAGGATTTCTTGCCTTTTCCTTTCCTATTCGTGCCTTCGAAGGAAAATCTTCCCAAGTCACTGCGACCCATTGAACGTTGTCCTTTTCCTCGTCCAGGTTGATAACGCGTGGTCTGCGGTCTGCGATCATATCCTTTTCCGCTAGATCCTCTGAGAGACGGCCTCCAAGATCCTTTGCGATTCCAATACTCTTCTTCATCTTGAGGTCTCTCTGTGTTCACATGATTACCTTCATCAGGTTGGCTTGAAGATCCGCCTGGTCCAGAATTCGTCTTCATGGGGCACTGCCCTGAAGAGTTCCACTTGCTACCACACTCCGTACATTGACTTCCACTGGCTTGTTTTCCACGTCCTTTGTTGTTCTGTTGATCTCCATATCTTTTCCGCGTCTGAATTTTCCTCCTTGCTTCTTACCTTTTCCGCCGTAGTAGTCGCTGTAGTCGTCTCCGTGTTCATCGTCATCTTGCCAATCTTGCCAGTCGTCGCCTTCGTAGTCATCGTAATATTCCTCTTCTGTCCAGTCTCGACCAGAATCGTAGTCATACCAGTCATCGTCCTCGTTCCAATATTCTTCATCATCCCAATTATCTTCATCGTACTCTTCCGTGTTGTATTGCTTGTATCCTTGGGATTGGTCGTAGCTGGCAGACTCATTCTTAGAAATCTTCATTTGCAATGCAATCATCTCTCTGTAACGGGTGAGGTCGCCACCGACCTTAAGTCTCAAATCTGCAAGTTGGCGCTCTGCGATTCTTGATCTGCTGAAGAAGAGCCAGGCCTCGCCACTGTCACCGATTGCGAGGCCTCCATGTTTTTCGGCCTCTGAGTAGAGTATCTCCCATTCCACAACATACGTAGAGAAGTCCATGTCATAAGCTTCGTGAAACAAAAGAACTTATCGAGACTCGTCCATGCAAGGTCTTGGTCGTCTAGATAGTAGAGTTCCGTGAGCTTGGCTATCAACACTTTGACTCCTGAAGGATAAGGTGGGGCAATCTGCGTTCCTGTCGTTGGGTCAATAATGGCCTCTTGAGCGTCGAGAGAAACCGCTTCGATGCCCTCGTAAGTCGTTTGCATGCGGGTGTCTGGATCTGGCCTCTGGATCGTTAGTCCTATGGCAATCCGCAGTGCTCCACCTTTGAGTCGTGACATGGTAGCTGGTCCAATCTGTTCTTGATCCAGCTTGGCCAGACGGCCCCAGATAGCTAAGGATTCTTTGTGCTCTTTGATCGGGTAGGCACGTGGCCTCCATCCTGGGGGAACATCTTTTGTGTACTGCCGAAGACCAAGCTGTGATGATGCCGTTGTCTGCTGCATTGTGTCTTACTTTGATCGATGAACCAATGTTCTCGAAACCAATCCGTCGTGTTGGTAACTGTCGTAGAAACCAATCCTTGAGATGTCGTTAACTGATGTAGAAACCAATCCTTGAGATGTTGTGTCGGTAACTGATGTAGAATATGATACCGTCCAATCTGATAGTATCTGACGTACGTCTGATCTGTGTCGGTCTGCGGTAGTCGCCTGACCGTGCGCGCGCGTGTGCGTGCGGTCCGTGGAAGGAGCCTCCATAGAGGCTCCGCTACCAAACTCGGGATATCGATGAGAATCGTATCCAAGGTTAGTTATTGATGAAAATCAAGTATCAGTTGTGGGAGAAGAGCGTTAACATATCTTTGATGTCTTTCCTCTAAGCCAAACGGCTGTCGTACGTAACAATACAGCAGGCAGGCAGGCAAGAGCTTAGCCTAGAAACCATACTCTGGGACGTACTGTCCGGGGCTCCTAAGAGGCTCTTTACAGGACCCGCTAGAGAAACCTATCATACATCAGAATTCTAACTCCCGCCCCCCTCCTGGCTGCCCCGCCCCCTGTCCTGCGGGGCACCCTGCAGGCAGGGCTGCAGGGGGGTGGGGGGGCCTTCGGGCTGTGGCAGGCCTTTGCGCCGCTGAGCGCTGGACTTCTCCGGCCTGCCGCCTCGCGCGCCGGTGCCCGCCGCGGCGCCGCCTGACATCGCGGGGGGGCGGGGGGGCGCCGCGGCCGGCGAGGACGGCAGGAGGAGGAGCGCTAATCTCTGCTATCTGAGTCGACGCGTCTCGGGGCCCTGTGACCAGGCTCTCGGGGACCTCTTGGGCCACCCTAGTACCCTCTCGGACAGTAGCTGCCTCCCGGGGTCCTTTTGCGCCCCCGTGGGGCGCTCCTTGGTGGCCTCCTGGGTCGTCTTGGCCGCCCGCGGGCGTCTCTTTTGCAGCCCCGGGGAAACGCGAAGCGGCCAGGGGGGGCTGGGCCCCCTCCCTCCCCGAGTGCTCTACTTGGCTCCGTGGGCCCCTCTAGTGGGCAGTGCGAAGAAGACGGGACTTGGAGGCGCAGGGGGCAGGGCAGCAGGAAACGAAAGACGACCGCGGGACACCAGCAGTGCAGCGCTGCAGCGCGGCGCTCCGCGGCCTGTCGCCTGTTTTCTAGGGGCCGGCGCGTCTTCGCGTCGCCTCTTCGTCATCCTTGCTTCACTTGGTCGATGGACTTGTGTTTGTGTGTGGTTGTGTGTGTGTGTGCGTGTGTGTGTGTGTGTGTGTGTGTGTGTGCGTGTGTGTGTGTGTGTCTCTGTGTGTGTATGTGCGTGTGTGTGAGTGTGCGCCCCAGTGGAGGGGGGGGGGAGGTGAGGTGCCAGAGGTTCTCCCTGGAGTCCCGCTCAGCCCGCGCTCGGCGCCTGTCGGTGCCGTCGGCTGCAAGCTGGGTCGGGCCGGGGCCCGCTGTGACCCAGAGGGGAGAGAAACATGGAAAAGGGAGGGAGGGAGGAGGAGGACCAGAGGGTAACCGTAGGAGGCGCGAAAAATGCTGCAATACATCTGCTCATCCAAAGGCCCCCTTTTCATAAATCCGTGCACGGCTTCCATTCCGCTGCAGGGAAATGGCCCCTTGAAGTCGAGTTCCCCATGAACCGCCTGCTATTCGGGCGACAGTTCCATTTTGACAAGGAATTGCCCTGCGTCATTCTGATGAACGCGAGCAGGTAACATCATACAGCCATGCCCCCGTTTCTAGAACCGCGCTCCGTCTGTGTAGCTATTGCACAATTCATGCAGTGCGCTTGAAGAAGTGTTGACCGACACACCCTTCGTGATAATACCGCGCGAGGCTTTAACAAGTGACAGCCCCATTCTGAAAAAGAGCCACCCTGCATCCGTTTAGCGGTTTGAAAATGTTAAGACGGGTGTGACTGGTGTTAGGGTGAAAGCCACATCTTGAAAACGGCTCGCCCTACATCTTTGTAGTTGCTTGCAAGTGTTCAGACGGATGCGCGCGGCGAGAGCCCCCTGTTCAAAATGGCCCGCCCTCCAGCTTTCTATCCGCTCGAAATTTTTCTTACGATTGAGGCGAGATATTTGTTCGAACGTGACTTTTCCCATCTTGTCACAGCTGGCCAGAATTGTGCTAGAGGGCTACCATCGGCGAGGAAGCCTCATTCGAAAGGCCAGGAGCGCCCCGCCGACATGCGTTAAGGGAGACGGAGGGGCCGGGGGAAGGGGATATCCTATCCCTCGCTTCCGCCTCCCTCTCTTTTCTCACGCCTTCTCCTTCTCTCCCGTTCTCCCTCCTTCCATCTACGCGTGCCCCTGTCCTGCAGCCTCTGGGCAGCACCCGCCGATGATCGGTGCGATGTTTATGGTGCCAGTGATGGTGAGCAGGAACGGCAGGCAGAGTACAGTCGGGGCGCTGAAGAAGGAACCCTTTTCGTTGGGGAGGGGCTCGGTGTTCCTTGAATGTTTCAAAGTTTGCCTCGGGTTTTCCTGAGGTTTTCCATGGGAAACCGAGGTTGAACTTATGGGAAAAAGGGGCCTCGTTCCTTATTTAGGGTTCCTTAGGTCAACGCCCCGACTGTACTCAAGGAGAGTGCGTGTGTGAGGTGGTGATAAGAATGCCTATGTAGAAGCCCAGTGGAGCAGCGAGAGCGGATGCTGCTGTTGCGAGATCTCACTGGCACGCCCCCATCGCTGGCACGCCCTCTTTCCGTACAGTCTTGTTCTCGAATTCTTGCCCCTTCGGCCGCGGAGCCCATCAGTCTTGACAGTATTCTGGCCGCTGCGCGGATTCTTGCTTTCGACCCGTCGCCAGATGAAGATTTTGATCCCAGTAATGATCCGCGTTTTCAAGCCGACAACTTCTTCGTGTGGCCACATGGGAACTATATGCGGTCAGCAGGGGAGGGTGTGCATGTCTGCACTTTTGAACGCTAATTGCTAATTGTTGTTGCTTTCTTCATCCAGGTGCCTGCGGCAAGTCCCGCCAGCGTGCCAGCCCAGCATTCTGGGTGGCGAATGTTCGAAGGTACAGAGGTTGCCGTCACATGCGTTACCTCGTGTCTCCATGCCTGGAAGAGTCATGGTGGTGGTGATTATGTCGATGATCATGATGATGCTGATGATGAGGATGATGATGCTGCTGGCGATGATGCTGATGATGATGATGCTGATGACTATCACGGTGATGATGCTGATGCTGCTGATGATGACGATGAGGATGATGATCATGGTGGTGGTGTTGGTTATGATGACGATGAGGATGCTGCTGCTGATGCTGATGTTGATGCTGTCGCTGATGCTGATGTTGATGATGATGACGATGATGACGATGCTGATGCTGATGCTGCTGATGATGACGACAATGATGCTGATGATGTTGATGGTTGTGATGGTGGCGGTGATGATGCTGTTGTTGACGATGCTGACAATGATGATGGCGATTGCTACTACAATGATGATGCTGATGATGATAATGATGATGCTGCTGTTGATGATGATTCTGATGCTGATGATGATGCTGGTGATACTGCTGCTGATGATGATGATGACGATGATCTTGGTTGTGATGATGGTGATGCTTCTACTGTCGCTGATGATGATGCTGATGATGCTGCTGCTATTGCTGATGCTGATGCTGATGCTGATGATGATGCTGATGCTGTTGCTGATGATGCTGATGATGATGGTGCTGATGATGCTGCTGATGATGATCATGATGATGATGATGATGATGCAGCTGCTGCTGCTGCTGCTGCTGCTGATTATGATGATGATGATGATGACCATGATGATGCTGATGATGATCATGATGAGGATGATGATGTTGATGATGATGATGATGATGATGATGATGATGATGATGATGGTGATGATGATGCTGCTGCTGATGATGATGCTGATGATGATGATGATGATGATGATGATGATGATGATGGTGATGCTGATGATGACGATGATGATGCTGATGATGATGGTGATGATGATGGATATGGTGATGGTGATGATAATACTGATGCTGCTGATGATGATGCTGATGATGATGATGCTGCTGCTGATGATGATGATGATGAGGAGGAGGAGGAGGAGGATGAGGAGGAGGAGGAGGAGGAGGAAGACGACGATGACTAGGATGAGGGAGCAAGAGGCGGAAGAAGAGCAGGAAGGCGAGGAGGAAGAGGAAGTCCGTCATTCCTGTCACCGTTCGTCTGTATTCTTTGGGGAGCTATCATGGAACTTGTTCGGGCCGTCTTGGGGCTCTCTTTGTCTCTTGCGAGGCAGTCATGGGCGTCCCTTGGGGACCTCGTATGCCGTCTTGGGAACCTCTTAGGCCGTCTTAGGGCTCTCTTGGGCCGTTTTGGGGCCCACTTGGCCGTGTGTTGGATGTCTGGGGGCAGTCGAGGGGCCTTCTAATGCGGTCTTGGGTCCCACGGGAGCCCCTTTTGGCCGTCTTGGGGCCATCTTGGATGCCTCTTGGGCCTCCGTGGGGTCCTCTTGGGCCATTTTTGGACCCTCGCGGGGGCCTCTTGCCTTGGGCGGGCTTGGGGCCACCGCGGAGGCTGCTTCGGCCGACTTGAACCGACCGAAGCCCGAGAAGGCGAGACTGCGGAAACCAGTCAAAAGCCAGAGGGGGATCAATGATTCTGGCCTCTTCGGGCCCTGTTGGAGGTCCTCTTGTGGCCCTTCTGGGCTCTCCGGGTGGCATCTTCGGCCGTCTCGAGGCCCTGCTCGGTCGCCTTGGGCCCACCTTGCCCTGCCTTCGGGGCATCTTGGGCCATCTTGGTGTCCTCGGTTGCCTGCATGGGCCGAGGACGCTCGGAACGAGGACCCGTCGTCCTGAACGAGGGGTCGTGGCCTCGGCAGCGCGGAGCCATCGGTCCCCGAACAGCGCCTGCATCTGGGGGCCCCGCGGGCGCCCCGAGGATCCGCCCCGCTCTGGCCCGTGGCCGCCCGTGGCCGCGCGCTGCCGCCCGTGGGGGTGCCCCAGGGACCCGCCCCGTGCCGGCCCGTTGTCGCCCATTGCCGGCCGTGGCCGCCTGCTCCTCCCTCCTCCTCCTCCTCCTCCCTCCTCCTCCTCCTCCCTCCTCCCTCCTCCTCTCCTCTCTCCCTCCTCCCTCCTCCCTCCTCCTCCTCCTCCTCCTCCTCCCTCCTCCTCCTCCTCCTCCTCCTCCTCCTCCTCCCTCCTCCCTCCTCCTCCTCCTCCTCCTCCCTCCTCCTCCTCCTCCTCCTCCTCCTCCTCGCCCGCTGCTGCCTGTGGGGGTGCCCAGAGGGCCCGCCGCGTTCCGCCCCGTGGCCGCCGGTTGCCGCGTGTGGGTGTGTCCCGAGGATGTTCTGCCTTTCCCCCCCCTGTCAGTTAAGCTGTGCGCGGCCCGCTCAGCTTGGACCGGAAGAGGCACGCTCTCGACCCGCGGATCAAAAAAGTGTGTCCCGAGGATTCGCCATGTTCCAGCCCGTTGTCGCCCATTGCTGGCCGTTGCTGCCTGTGGAGGTGTCCCGAGCATGCGTACGTGCTTTACGAAAAACGACCACAGGGACGCTTGTGCATCACACTGCTTGCGCATCACCAGTACAATAAGTTCCTGTTCGGGCTCCGTGCTGGCAATCGTTTCTACAAGGTATTGTGGCCTCGCGAGGGGAGGGGGTGTCGCGCAACACTTCGCGAATAGGGGGTGCGTCCTTTAGAAGTAAGATGCATAAGTCCTGCTGAACAGGAACAGCCTTTGTAATACGCCCACGTCGTGCAGGCACGGTGGCTTATCTCTGTTTGTTTTGTATCTCTCGCTCTCTCTCTCTCTCTCTCTCTTTCTGTCTCTGTTTATTTAATCGCTTCGCTCATTCCGCCGGCCCTCGAGCGCTCTATGGGGCCTCTTTGAAGCCTCTTGGGGGCCTCTTTGGGGCCTCCTTGGGGCCTCTTGGGGGCTTCTTGGGGGTCTCTTGGGGCTCCTTGGCGGCGTCTTGGGGCCCCCTTGGGCCTCTTGGGGAGCTCTTGGGGGCCTCTTGGGGCGGGGTAGTCGAGTGCACCCCCCTCGGAGGCCACAATCCTCGTGAGGGGTGTCGGAAAAAGGCCTTCAAAACCATCTCTGAGTAGACCTTCCCAGGCTGCGGTCGGGGTACTTTTCGCCGGGGGACCCCCAGGGGCCGCCCCGCGCGCGCGAACTAGAAGAATTGTTAACCAGTTACCGGAGATCTTAGCACGCCTCTGGCCCGTTGGGCCGGCGAATTTACCCTTTCTCTCTCTATATGTATTTGTGGCATGGATTCAAATATGTATGCGCATGGCCGTCCAGCCACTTCCTCTTTCTCTCTCTCTCTCTTTCTCTCTTCGTCTCCTCTCTGTCTGTCTGCCTCCTTGTCAAAATCAGCACATGGTCCGTTTCGAGGTCAATTCTTAGGCAAGATGTAGCGTACATCAATCATGGACACCAACTCGTGACATCTCCGCTTTTTGTGCCGCCTTGCAGTCGTGCGGTGTGCACATGCATGTTGAGCATCAGCGCAGGGCCTGCCTGTCATGTGCAGCTGCCCGCGGCAAGCCACGGCCAAATCACGGCCCTGCCGTTGTCGAGTCACTGTGTGGGTGCGGCTGCAGCCCCCCTATAAGGGGGAGCGGATTCGACGCTCGCTCGAACCTGTCTTGCCCCTGGGCAGGCATCGGCTGCTTGCTCACGGCGTTGTTCGCCCCTCCTCCTCCTCCTCCTCCTCCTCCTCCTCCTCCTCCTCCTCCTCCTCCTCCTCCTCTCCGTGGAACCGAGCCCCCTGCCACCAGCCCGATGGACGTGCCGAGCGTGCAGCCGAGCTCGGGGCGCCACCGGTGGCGACCGACGGGGCGCCACGGCGCGTGGCTGGCGAGAGCGCGCGCGGCGCCGTGGCGAGGCGGCCCGGAGGCGCGCGGCGCGCGGCGCGCGGAGCGCGGCCGCCCGGGGCAGAGAGCTGCGCGGCGCCGAGCCAGGAGCGGCGGGGCGCCCGCCGCAGGCGAGGCTGTTGGAGCGGCCGCGCGAGGAGAGGCGTCGGAGTCGGGGGCCACGGCGGGGGGGGGGGGGAGGGGCGCAGCAGGGGGCGCCTCGACCCCCAGATCGCCGATCGGTCGCCGATCGGGGCCCGAGAGCCCCGACCTGAGCCCAGGAGCGTGCGGGCTCACTATCGGGGGCCTATCGCCGATTCCAGGTCGATGCTTCCCCCCTTTGTGCCTGTCCCCCACTATCGTTGCCCCTCACACAGAGGAGGAAGAGATGCCGGGAGAGGCCCCGGGAGCAGCGGTATCGGCAGCTTGTGGCTTCCCCGAGGAACACCGCGGCGCACGGCCGACCGGCTGCCTATCCCCCCGGGCTGGGTTTCTGGCCATCACTCTGCTCTCCGGCGGCCGTTCGGGACAATCCGATCACCCCCGGAACGCCCTCGACGAGGCGCAGCTTCTTGAGTGCATCCCGAGGCTGGAACACGGCAAAGACCGACGAAGACGCCCGAAAATTCAAATCTTGGAAGCCGTGCGCCCCCCCTGAGCACCGCGGCGTGCATCCGACCGACAGACGGGAGGGCCATCCTGCCCAACGCACAACACAGAATACACAACACAAACAACACACAGCACACTACGCACAACACACAAGACAGACAGCACAACACAAAACACACAACACACAGCACACACAACACACAACACAGACACAACACATTACACAACACACAACGCACAACACATAAGACGCAACACACAACACACAACACGCAACACACAACACACAACACACAACGCAGGCACACCAAGACAACACAATTCACACACAACACACAACACACAGCACATATAGCATACATATCATACACAGCACACATAACGCACAGCACACACCACTCACTGCATACAACACACTCAACACACAACAATACACGCAACTACTTACACATTCACGCACAACACACACAGCACACATCACACAACACTGCACACAGAACATGAGCAACACACAACACACAATAAACAACACACAACACAGACCCAACACACACAACACACAGCATAAACCATTTAGACAATACGCAACACACCACACCAGACACGGCCTATGCACACACGCACACCCGCACACCCGCACACAGACAACACACAACACAAACACACACACACACATTCCCACGCAAACGCAACACAACACACACACACACACACGCCCACACACATGCAAACACACACACACACACACGCACACACATGCACGCCCGCGCTTGTGAGAGAAGGCACGACCCGCCGCCCGAGAGCAGCGTCAGAACGGCCAGCGAAGGGAACCCACCCTGGCGATCCGCTGGGCCGGGCCCTCGAGGGGGGCGGGCCGGGCGGCCCGCTGCGGCGATCCGCGCAAAGGGGCCCGCCCTGGCGAGCAGCAGACGGAGGCAGCGCCTGGGCGCGAGAGACCAGCGCTGGTGGCCGCCCAGCAGGCCAGCAGCAGGTGCGTTGCCTGCAGAGGGCGCGCGCACACACACACGCACTCACGTGCACATACACGTACACACAGGGTGGCACACGCAGGGCTCCACACGTTGTTACACGAATCAAGTCGGGTCCGCGCGCTGGCAGCATTTTTTGTTGCTTCTGCGCCGCCCGCCCGGCGGCCGCGGGATTCTCACATGACCCATTCCCTTCCGCCTTCTTCTGCTTGTGCCGTTCTTCTCGTCTTCCTCCTCCTCCTCCTCCTCCTCCTCCTCCTCCTCCTCCTCCTCCTCCTCCTCCCCCTCCTGCTCCTCCTCCTCCTCCTGCTTCCGCAGTGGTTCCGTTCTTCTGCTTGTGCCGCCAGAGCGCTTGCCCGACGCTGCGCCAGGTCGTACCTACGGCTGCTTTTCACCTTGTTCATGTGCTTGTGGGGCC